TCAATTTAGGTGAACTGTATTCAGTGTATGTTTCTCCAGTAACTATATATTTTCCCCTATATATTTGACATAATTACGTAAAAATCAATGTATAAATGATTGTATTTTGGTCTAATGAACACGAGACTTTGGGACTTGTTTTTAGAGAGGCAATACATTATCATGTCATCAATCTTTCGTGTCCTTAATTTGCGTTATGCGAATTGAAATGATTCCCGTTTCTAAATATGGGTAGTAACATTAATGAATTTCATTGGTTCTAGCATATGCAAGTCAAGTATAAGCAGTAAGAATGTGGACCCAACAAGGTCAATACATAAACAACAGAGACGAAATGCCAGACGTAACTGGGGTAACTTCAGAAATAAAAAATGTCAGTTATTTTTAATGCCGTTGCAAAATAATGGGCAATGTATTTACCAACTAAGTTTGATTAGTCATATAGTTGCAACATTAAGACATAAAATCCTAATTAGAGTTAATATGTGGTTATTACATTACGGTAGTCATAACAAGGCGTTTCAGTAGCTGAAGAAATAGATAATGGGTTTAAAATTTGATTTTAGAATAGTTAAACGGAATTACTTACTTTCTTACGACTGTTACCCGTCATGGAGGAGCATAGGCCGCCCACCACTACTCTCCAACAAACCCTGTCATGAGCAATCCTTTCCAGTTCTTTCCAGTTAACATTCATCCTTTTTCATATCTGCTTCTATTCCTCGACGTAATGTGTTCTTCGGCCTTCCTCTTTTTCGTTTCCCTTCAGAATTGCAACTTAGGACTTGCCTCGTGATGCAGTTTGATGATTTTCGAAATATACGTGTTATCCACTTCCAACGTCTTTTCCTAATTTCCTCTTCAGCTGGTTCGTCCTGTCCCATAAAGCGCTGTTACTGATAGTATCCGGCCAGTGAATGTTGAGTCATTTGCATAGACAACTGCCTATAAATACTTGTACCGTCTTGACGATGGATGAAGTAATTCTCCACGTTTCAGCTCTGTACAGTAGGACTGTCTTGACGTTTCTGTTAAAGATTCTTACCTTGAAATTAGTTAAGAGTTGTTTTAAGTTTCATATGTTCTTCATTTGTAGAAATGCAGTCCTTGCTTTGCCAATCTTCGCCTTTACATCTGCATCCGATCCACCTTGTTTATCAATGATGCTTGAAGTAACATAAAGCATAAATTAAAGTTAAGAAACTTTCAGAAATCTATTCATTATGTAAACACTTATGAATATCTATCTTTAAGATAACCCTGTTTTTGTTTCATTTTTTTTAATTATCAACTTGATAATATTTCGACATTAAGTTAAGATGAGAAAATTTAGAAATAGTTCATTTATTCTTATGTCCATATTCATTACATGAAATAATTGAAGTGACACTTAACACATACATACATACACACACACATACATACATACATACACGAACATACATTGAATTGAAATTAACTTTGCTTTGATAAATTTGTTGTCAAGTATATTGTATGGTCTAAGTAGTTTATTTAGTTACTAACATCAAGTCTTGCACGAATATATATACACACTTTTTTCTTCATATTTAAGAACATTCATTAAATAATGGATATTTTGTTAAAACTGTTATATCCCCTGGTGAATTATGAATCGTAAATCTGAGGTCTATTATCGACCAATGTATTATGCCTATTTCTTATTGTACAGTTGTTACGTAACTAAATTATTCATATTAGTTTTCTCTTATCATGAGCTTTATTTTGATCTTTGATTTATGATCATACGATTCTTGAGTTATAATCAGTTTATTGATTACTTTGGTTTGTATAAAAACCCAGTGTGTTTGTAAATAATGATTCATATTGCCGAGGCTGTTATTTGTGTTCTGGACTCAACTGGCTGGGCTAGACAGATAGGAAGGACCGAACAGCGCCCAAGACTGCTCGTACGTATTTTCTGTATCATTGCACATTTCATATACAATAACGATTGTTATACGAGACATAACAATTGGCGACGGGGATTCTGGAAAAAAATACAGCAACCCAATACTGTTCGTACTATTTCAAGTATCATTTGCATCCGATCAGTAAAATCCACTCCTCTCTAATTGCACGTTCATATATATTACGGGCCCATACGATATAACAACTGACGACAGGGTAAAAAAAATGGCTTTAACTCCCGATCAATTTCAGTTGCTAATTCAGAGACAAGAGCAGCGTTTTAAAAAGAGTCAGTTGGATTTCATTGACAAGTTACACGCGACGCTGCTGAATCACCCATGCTTTGGGGGTGCAACGGAAGTTGACGCATTGATTTCTAAATTGCGTACGGAACTGGAAGTCGATTACAGAACAAATGAATATGCAGAGGAAAGCCTCTATGAATCCGCGAAAAACAGAAATTTAGATGCAGCAGTAACAGTCCTACATGATCAGCCCAGTAGTCCGGTGCTGCCTGTTTCAGAGACATGCCCTATACACGGTCCAAGTCCTATTAACCCCGAAAACGGACGTGCAAACAGTGGATCAACCTGTTTACAGAAAGACAATGTTTTGCTAAATGCTCATGGAATTACTGTAGTACCCGCCCACGAAGAAACGGGGAACAAATCGGGCAGTATATTGAATACAGTGGCGCCAAATCAAACCAGTCATGATGCAAAAAAGTTTTTTTATGAATCTAATGATCAAGATTATCTAATTGTTCTGCCAGATCCCGATTATTTTGCTGATTCATATGTTCCAGTTCAAATCTCTTATAAAAATGGGAGAAAAATATCGGATGCATTAAATGATAATCAAGAATCCAATACAACTTTCATAGATACCGATTATCCTAATGATTCATTATTTACTAATGAGGTTCCGAGTAAATTCAAGGAAACTGTTTCAGAAGAATCAGACGCTGGTGACCTCAAATCGAATGTAGTCGATCCTCACGATCTAATAAGTTCTCGTGGATTCTCAGCTAAATACGACGAATATGTTTTAAATAATGTCACAATAATGGTAACTTGGGTTCATGAGGATCCAACAGTCTTTCGTGGGGGGGGGATGAATTCGAGAAATTAAAAATCCGGATGTCAACTCCGGATTTCTCAAAAAGGGGAGGTGTTATATCCCCTGGTGAATTATGAATCGTAAATCTGAGGTCTATTATCGACCAATGTATTATGCCTATTTCTTATTGTACAGTTGTTACGTAACTAAATTATATTAGTTTTCTCTTATCATGAGCTTTATTTTGATCTTTGATTTATGATCATACGATTCTTGAGTTATAATCAGTTTATTGATTACTTTGGTTTGTATAAAAACCCAGTGTGTTTGTAAATAATGATTCATATTGCCGAGGCTGTTATTTGTGTTCTGGACTCAACTGGCTGGGCTAGACAGATAGGAAGGACCGAACAGCAATCAAGACTGCTCTCAGGACATACGTTATAACATCCCCGTCGCCACTGTTATAACGTATGCCCTGAGAGCAGTCTTGATTGCTGTTCGGTCCTTCCTATCTGTCTAGCCCAGCCAGTTGAGTCCAGAACACAAATAACAGCCTCGGCAATATGAATCATTATTTACAAACACACTGGGTTTTTATACAAACCAAAGTAATCAATAAACTGATTATAACTCAAGAATCGTATGATCATAAATCAAAGATCAAAATAAAGCTCATGATAAGAGAAAACTAATATGAATAATTTAGTTACGTAACAACTGTACAATAAGAAATAGGCATAATACATTGGTCGATAATAGACCTCAGATTTACGATTCATAATTCACCAGGGGATATAACAAAAACAATTAGGTAACTGTGAGAATTCATTATTAATTAACTTAAAAACAGCTGTTTATTATTTCCTTTTTAAAAATTATAATTAGTTAAGGATATTTTTTTTTTAAACATTGATATAGACATGTAATTAATGTAACAAAACTAAGGTGTTCTAGTTTAAACGGACATTGATTTAAGAACTAAACAATATCAGTGTGAAGTTTCTAGGCGTTATAATACTTGGTAGTTAACTATGAATAAAATACACATTTTGATTCGATTGATTTATTAAATTATGTTATATTTTTAATGAAATACTATATTTCAGAAGTGGTTTTGTGGAGATTTCAGTATTTTCATAGTTGAAATCATGAATTATTTGAAGCTAGACCAACATGGAATGCCTAGAAGCACTTGAAGGAAGTTTCGTCCTATTGTGGGACTCCATAGCAGTGCGCATACACGATCCCGAACTCGAGAGATTCTAACCAAGGACATATCATTCTCGTTCTCAAGAGCTTAACCCCTAGACCACTGAGTTGGCCGGCATCCAATGGTGTTAATGTCTAACTTCACCCAGTCCACGAAACTGAGCGACACATCCCCTATTGTCTTTAATTAGTTGATATCTCTACAACAGACTTGGTTGAACTCCACTGGTCACTGCTTCCCATTAGAACTCAAGGAAATATCTCTTGAAGTCAGTCACTAGTGAGCTCTGGAGCGAGACTGGTAGGTCCTCGGTTGGAACCTCGTGAGGCGGGATTGTGGATGAGCACTGCTTAGGAGTTCTATAATAAGACGAAACAACTGTCCAGTGTTTCCTGGTTTTCCATGGTGCTCTAACTTCAACTGACTCATGATCTCAACTATATAAAATTACTGAAATTACATTACACAGTGAACTGTAAATAAAACATAAAAATGAAAAAAAAAAAATAGAAAAATAGAATTTGAATAAACTCTCACATTCACGCATTGTCAATGTAATTGAACTAAACTAGTGTTAATTTTCTCTAAGGTCTACTATGATAATTGTTTTTTAGTGATTCTTTTAAATATTTCAAAAAATCAACTTGGAGATTAAAATGACCTTCTTTTCTAATTTCTAGTAATATTTAGATTTATATGGTAGTTTTACGTAATAGTTAATCAAAAAATTGATTCGAAATCTATAAATTCATTATTTATTTCATTTTTCTTAATATTTTTTTAAAAATTTTTTTATTAGGTGACGGTGTTTTCATCAGCTTTCATGTTACTTGGTCTAACAACAAGTCGATTTTTAGCTGTTGTATTACCGTGGCAAAACTTAAAAATGACAGAGATGCAAGCTAAATTAGTATGTCTAGGAGCATGGCTAGGTAAGAAATGTTATAATATTTTTTGATTATGTTTAATGTACATATTTATGATATATACATAGGCTATTTTAAATCATATCTCTTTTATCCCGTTCTAATTCCTACTATAAATTTAAACTGTTTAAGTAGTTAGGATAATTAAGATTAATAAAATCTACGGTAACAAATAGATGAATTTTTTCAGAATACATATTATCCATAATGTTTACACATCCGTGATCATGGTTGGTTTGAAAACTCATCTTCTTTTAAACTCGCCTGTCAATATTTCATGTGTAATAATCTTCCAGTGTAAATATAAGAAATACATTCATGTAAACTATAAACCACCATAAGTTAATTGAATTGTATAGATTTTCTTGAAGGTACTTGGTACAATATGAGAATATATAACCGTTTAAAAACAACAAACGTATTAAGTTGGCAGTTAGATTTTCAGTTATTCGGTAAAATTTATTAAATATAAACTTGTTAGTGATAAATTACATGACCATTACTGTTCATTTATCCTATGAACCAATTAACAAATAAATAAATAATATATTTGTAATATCCCAATGAGAAGAAAAATTAGATTTTCTGACGTTTCGTAACTCAGTGTAAGCCACTTCTTCAGAGAATAAATAACCAAATTAATAACAATCTACCTAATGCTCAATTTATTCAAAATTATCAAATCAAAACTTGGTAATGATACCTACAATTAACAAATAGATCTAAATGATACTACTCCATTGATACAGCTAATCAAATTATACAACTAATAATCCTTACATAGTTTGATCAAATATATGAATCTCAGACTAACTAGATGTTAATAAGCTGATGATGTAAAACATTCAAATTTAGTTGATTTAATACTCACTAATACTGTGATTTAATTAAGACGTAATAGCTGCCATAGTGTATAATATAAGTTGTTTAACATTTTTCTGAATTAACTATCAGTCTTATTTAGATTACAAGTTATATTCACGGAAATCACTTCATAGATTTAATAAAAAAATATCGACTCAGTCAGTTAGTCTGCGACAACGTAGAACTCCGTACGTACATCAGTTCAAGTTACCATACCGCATTAGCACAGAGATTAAATTTTACATAGTGGTAGGGGTAGTAAAAGTATAAGCAGTAATCCTAAAGATTAGGGTTTGAAGATGTTATTCCAATGAAATGAATTTGGAAAGAGAAAAAAGAAAGGAACATGAAGAATTTAGAAGATTGGAATTTGAGAAAACACAAAGAATGGATGCACCGTCGCCATCGACAACGATTTTGAGCCATGTCATTCAAGGTCTCTAACCATCGATTGTTATCATTTCGCGGATCTCAACCAGGTAGTATACACCTACCAACATGGCTCAGTCCACTTGTCAGTGACTTCATGGATTTGTGCCACGTTTTGGTTTGGCCGCTCTTAGTTGTCTTCCAATCTACTCCTACACCATAAAACATTGTACGTCGGGGCATTCGGTGGTTGGACATATGTAATACATGTCCCAGCCATCTCAACTGATGAAGTAAAGCGGTAGATACGCTCAACTACTTCACTCCCTATCATTGTTTCAGTTGTCGATACAGCCCAATCCTGAAGTAACATTTTACATTTCGAGGGAGAGAATCACATTCCTAACATGCCTGCATTGTTGCTTATAGTGGTCAGAAGACTCTGCATTTTGTCAGCGTCTTCACCGATAAAACTACGTCGTCGGCGTATTCTAATTCAACAAGTGAGCCTCCTGGTAAAAGTTCAACTCCAGGAGACTGAGATGATGAAAGTGTTATCTCTAAAAGCATGTCAATGACAAAGTTAAACAAGAATGGGGAGAGTGGACAGCCCTGACGAACACCACTTGAGGTAATCAGTTCTGATGACAGTTCGCCATAGGCTCTAACTCGACCAGTAGTGTTCGAGTAGAGAGCCTTTATGAGGTTAATGTACTTCTTTGGTACTCCTTTCAGTGACAAACATTGCCATAGAACCTCACGATCAACTTAGTCAAATGCCGCCTTAAGGTCAAGAAATACTACGATTGTGGGGCGTCTGAATGTGTGTCTATGTTCTAGGACCTGACGTAGAGTGAATATTTGGTCTATACAACCACGACCACGTCGAAAACCAGCTTGGTTTTCTCTAGTTTGCTCTTCACGAGCTTTGGTTAGGCGACCTAGTATTATTGAAGCTAATATATTAGACACTATATTAGTCAAACTGATCCCTCTGTGATTGTCACAGGAGGACTTTTGTCCTTTCTTATAGACTGGTACAATCAGTGATTGGGACCAGTCAAATGGAATTACGTCCAGTTCCCAGATTCTACTTAAGGCCTCAGTCAATCTCGCTGCTAGTACTGTAACAGCTTTTTTAAAAATCTCAGAGGTGAATCTATCAGGGCCTGCGGCTCTCCCTCGCTTCAGATTTCCTATAGTTTTTTCAACCAAGTAGAGAGTTGGAGGATTTACATCAATTTGCCACTCAGGACGACTGGGGATCTAGGGTAATTGAAGTGTGACTGAAGGCCAGTTGAACTGATCCCTAAAATGTTCTGCCCATCGAACCAATCTCCTGGATTTAGGATGAATAATATATCCACCTTTTTCCGAGATAGATTCGCTGGCAGTTGAGTTCCTAATACCGGTTTCTTTAACAAGTCTGAATAGCTATCTACTGTTACCTATTGCCGCTGCCTTTTCCATCTCTCTTGCTTTCGCTACCCACCACTGTTCACGAACATTACGTAGGCTTCTTATTAGCCTGCGCTTAAGTTGACTCCGCTCTTCGTTATGTTCAGAGCCCGGTGGGATGAGTTTTCGAGCATCTATCAGTGCGGTAGATGCTGCCGAGATCCATTGTTTCTCCCTAACCTTATGATTTATCTTACTAGCGGATATCACTGCTGATTCCACAGCTTTTCGGATGTCATTCCACGCTGCCTCGGGATGGGCACAACTTACATTGCTGCCTAACTGTTTTTCTACTTGTTCCTGAAATATATTCTTAGCTTGCCTATCATTAAGTAGAACCCTTAGAGGCTTCCTTGCAGTGTCTTTCCTACATCCAGTAAGATGGAGACAGATACGTGCTCGTACTAGAGCATGATCTGAATCTAAACATGTGCTCCAGAATGAGTGACAGTCTTCTATTGAGCCCCTCCATCGGTGGATGATAGCGATGTGATCTAATTGGGTTCAACGTTGGGACGAATTCAGAGGTCACCATAAGAAACGTTGCTTGTCCATATGCATAAAGTTAGTATTTGCTAGAAACAGGCGGTTATCTGAACATAGCTGCAACAGACGGTCACCATTATCTTCTCATTGAGCCACAACACCATAAGATCCACCCAGGTGTCTTTCCTTTTTGCTTAGTTTATCTTTATGAGCATTTAAGTCACCAGCCACTATTACTACATCAGAGTGCCTAGATTTTCAGAGAAGGTTGGAAAGTTTTTGTAAAATCTATCTTTTACATCTTCTGAGCTGGAGTCAGTGGGAGAGTAGACAGAGACGACGAAGAGGCAACGACGAGTTTCCCTATCTTTCTGAGTCCTTACTGATCTGTTTAGTCGTACAGCGCATAGACGACTGTCTACTGGGATCCATTCCAAAAGAGCTAGTTCTTCCCCAGGGTGTAATGGTACAGCTACACCAGCGAGGCCATAGAGATCGGCATCAGTGTTTCCAGTTACACGAAACCTGAATCAAGATGGTTACTAATTTCGATATGGTGAGGCGAAATAAATGACGCTACTCGGATCTTGTATGCTCGTTTTGGAGACGCAGCATACATCGATGGTGCGCGACTTTAAAGTCCTGACTAAAGAAGCCTGATATTCAATTTGGCACAGTGTTCGGGTTTTAAAAGCTCCTACGTGTAGTTTAGAGCGTGGTTTCAGGAGACCAGGAATAACGCTCCGTGTACTCGAATCGTTAGTCGTGGAGATAAGAAAGTTGTTAGGAGGTGTAGGAAGGATATGAACGTGACCAACTTCGTCTTGTTTGTGTGTTTTTATTTATAAAAATTAAGGCAATAATTGACATATTCAATAACTTTCAGTTTCCAAGAGAACATAAAACAGAGTTTAAGTTTGTAAGCAAAGATGGAGACTGACCAGTTGCAGTCCTAAACATCCATGATATGATTCAAACAAACTATACTAAATGATAGTCTAAGTTTGCTTTTAAAAAATTATCAAGGTTATGTAGATGGAAACCAAGTGTTAAAAAGTACTTTTTTGAAATTGGACTATTTCTTTCTTTTGAAATAATTGTTATGCAAGATCATATCGACTTGTATAAGTTTTGTTATCCTATCTTCATATTAAGAAAATATCCTAAATGAACTGATATAATAACAGTGTGTATCCTAAAATTTAATGTAGATTACATTTACTTTTTTCTTAAAGGCAATAATCAATATGATACAAATCGCTAAATACTTAGTCAAAGTGGATTGGTTGAGGTTAGACATCAACAAAGTTGGATACCAGCTCAGTGGTCTATCGGTTAAGGGCTCTGGCTCGAGACTGGTAGGCCCTGGGTTCGAATCTCGCGAGTGCGGGATCGTGGATGCGCACTTCTGAGGAGTCCCATAATAGGACGAAACGGTCGTCTAGTGTTTCCAGGTTTTCCATAGTGGTCTAGCTTCAACTGACTCATGATCTTAACTATAAAAGTAATAAATTTGAATTTTACACTCTGTGAAAGAATATGATTTCTGAGTAACTTCAAATTGAGAAACTTAGAGAAATGTAACAAAAAATGTAAAATAACTAATGTAATACTGGGGAAAAAGTATAAGTTAAATGAGTTTAAAATTAGACATTGGTGGTTGTTCAAACTTTACAAGCAAGAAAATAAATTCATAAAGCATGAAGTTATCATCAGTATAAAAATGATAGTATATACAGAAATACTAAGCAGGTTACGTAAATAAATCATCGACTGTGATTAAATGTGTATGGTAAATATTCTGACTGAATGCTTGAATGGGTTTCCTA